CCACACTCCCCTCTGGACTCAGTTTTTAAAGAAAAACTGCCTCACAGCTGTGTTTGGAGTGCAGGTGGGGTGAAGGGAGTGGGGAACCTGGCTGAGGATCCCTCCAACATCCACGGGCTGGATCTGGTGGCTTGGCAGGCTGTATCTGGCCTGCAGGCGGTATTTTGCCCATGCTTGGGTTAACCATTTAAAAGTGTACACTAGTAGTGAATAGCAGATGTTCTTTTGGAATGGAGAGCAGATGTTTTCTCTTAATTCACTCAATTCCCTATAACAGCGAGCATCCTACACCATTTTTCTAGAATTCTTTCATAGCCTGGGACAATCTGAAAAATCACTTGTTCTTTCATATTTGGAGTAGTGAAGTTGGTTTTGCTGTGAAGAAAAATAATTAATTGCCAACTCTTGATTCATAGTTTCAGTATCTTCAGTCAAAAACACTTTATCATTCAGTTTTCTGTAATGGTATACCTTAAATCCCTTCCTGCCTACCTACTATGAGTAACTACCATGTGTTTTAGTCCTACTTTAGGAAAAGTTTTTATGGAAGATCTGATCATCTTTCCATTGATTTTAAAACACACACATATTCCTTTTTTGAACTTGTGTGAGTCAGCTCTTTTCAGTTCCTGTGCAAAGTTCACACTACTTGTATCCATTTTCTGGAGAAAGGTCAGTGAGCTTCAAGTTCTTGTAGCTGATCCTTCCTTTTATAATCTTCCATAAGTAAACAGTGATCTTTTTGTCCTCATCCTAAATTCCTTTCCCAGCATGCCGATGGATGATCACCCTAATCAAGCAATCTATTATTTTTTCCAAGACCTCACTTGCATAATAAGATAATTCATTTTTACATCTTAATTTTACAAGAGAATTAAGTTTTACAGCTTAAATGTTATGAGGGTACTACCTTTTTGCCAAAATAGATTAGTAGTATATAAAAAAAAATCTAGTTTTTTCAGTGCTTATGAAGAGAATCCAAGGATAAATGCCTTCATTTCCCAAAACCTATCCAAACAGACCAGTCTCAATAGAAAGGAGAATTACAATTTAGCAGAAGAGTACTTCTGAAACTTGTATTCTTTTCTATTAGGAGAGCAGTCCAGTGTGGACCTCCCCCCTTATTTCTAAGAAACAATATTTTTCCATACTTCAAGAAGGTTTTATCTTGGCTAATAACATATTGCTATATATAGATAGATAGATAGATATATGCTTTTTATACAGTACAGTATCACTACTCTACAACTGAATAACCTTGAATATAAAAGAATTCTTAATGACCCATCTTTGTCTCAGTAAATAGAATTAGCCTGTCTTAGTGCACAGTTTGTGCAGTGTTAGGTCTGATTCCTGATTATTTCAACCACAGATCAGTCTCTGTTCAAGCAGCTTCTATATTTACTTTTTGAAGCAAATAGTCGAAGAAAAACCTCAACTTCACTCAGATACGCAAAGTGAACAAGTATTTTGATGGCTGTTGGGGACAATTCAAGGAATTGGTTTCAAATTAAGAGCTTTGAAGCACTCCCTCCTCTTCCCCTCCCCTTGCTGCCTCTTTCTGATAGAGGCAGCAAGGGGAGGAAGTGGTTAGGCAATTAGGGTGTTGACTATCCAATAAGCATTTGCTTATCGGATAGTTGACTAGTCGTTCACATCCCTAGCTGGGGGCAGAAGGAAGTTTGGAGGCTGGATGAGGTTGGTAGGGGACCTACATGGAAGAAAGAGGTTAGAATCGGTGTAGTCACCATTGGGAACCTAGGGAATTCTGGAATAGGAGTCTAGACGTGTCCCTTGTAAGTACATCACACTAGAGGAGCTGGAGTTTGTGGTTTGTGGGATAGTCAGTGGAAAAGGGAAGGCAGTGATGGGGATGGCATGGTGTAGCCAGAGAAGAGCGGGGTGCTAGAGTATGTTGGTATGATGCAGAAATTGGGAAAAGGCAGATTAAAGGCAGCTGCAGTAGATGGTAATGGAGCAAAAGACAGTTAGAGATGTAAGGGATAGTGGCAGGCAGAAGGAGAGTTGTTGAGTGGGGAACAAGATAGGAATTAAGGGGATGGAGTTAGAGGTAGGGTAAGAGAAACAAGAATAGGTGAGACGGAGTTAAGCAGTAGTGGTAGGTGAGAAGATGGGGCAGAAGTGGAGACTAACAAGTAAGAAAGGAAGAGGGCATTTAGGAGAGTAGGCAGAGTGAGTAGAAGGGAGAAACAGTCTTGCTGCAGCTGGGCTTGGCAGTGCAGAGCATATCAGCACAGGAGCCATAGCACCTCGCCCCATCCTGCCTTCAGGACCATCTGCATCCTTAAGGGCTCATTGACTTTCTTTTTTCCATAACTCAAGCACTGGAAAACAAGAGAGGGGTGGGTACACAGTGCCAATAGGGGTGAGGAGAGGTAATCTCTATTGGGCAGTTGAGGAACCAAGCCTTCTTCCTGCCTCCGTCTGTTTCAGTTGTCGCGATCCAGCTCTCTGCCCATTCTGATCCCCCTCCAAAGAAAAAGCAAATGGAGCAGTGCTGAAGAGGCCAAGTCAAAAGAGGAGAAGGCTGCACCCTGGGAGGACTGGCATCCCTGCTGGATACAACCTTCTCCTAACCCCAGCTCTTCAGCATGGCTGTGTCCAACAGGGGAAGCAGATGGGGTTCTGTGCGACTCAAGGATCTCTTGATGCCAGCTGACTGGGATATAAAAAGATCATCATAATCAGTAGGAGATGTTTGCATAGGAAGTATATTAGATGTTACGTATTTACGCTGACAGTTATGTTCTCTAGGCCTCGTAGTTCAAGGCAAGTCACATTGTATATTGAGTGTCTTAGAACAGAGATGTATTAGCATAACGAGTCAAAAGGTAATGAAGAGTTTGTAGAGATTTCAGAAGGGAGATTAACAGGAAGAGGTAAGGGGGGAGGAGATGGGAGAGAGCATCCTGTTTTTGGGTGAAGATCAAAGGCCTGGTCTGTTGTATATCTGGGGGTGTGGTGAGAGACTCTGGCATCCTTGTGAAGACAGGCTGCATGAGGCTTGATTTTTGTGAAAGGGGGATCTCAGCCATCCAAGTTGAAAACACTGGGGGAAAAGACTTTAGGTAAGCTCTTGTGTAGCAGATATGTGACTGTCCTCTGAATTAATTTGACACTCTAGAAAGTGTTATGTCTGTTTTATATCTAACCATTTGTTTCTAGAGATTCAAATCATTAAAAGATTATTGGACTTTGATGATAAACTTGTTCTTGTTTTCACTATAAATATATCTAAGGGCTGTGTGTTAAGCAGAGTGTTAATCTTGAATTGAGTCTTGTAAGATGGGAGCAGAGGATTTGAGGTATTGTGAGTGAGCACTCCAGAGCGACACTTGGAGGACTGGAGGGTGTACCTATGAACAACCTAGGCAAATACAGTGAGTCCTGGGAGACCTTGAAGGCAGTGCTTATGTTTGCCAGAGGTGGTTGGAGTCAGGGAGCTGTTCCACAGCAGAAACAGACAAAAGTCCTTTGTGCTAATGGCAAGTGGTATAGCAAAGGGCCTTGCAGCCCTCGGTACCCCTGGGAAGCATCACATTGTGGTAAGCACTGGGGTCAAGACTGGACTGTCTCCGGCAGGAAGGCTAGTACTCCTGGGATGCAACCTTCTCCTTCCTGTTTGCAGAATCCCTGCTGGCCTCCCCAAAATGGGAGGGTAACTGGTTGATGGCTGCTACAGCTGTGTCAGTTGGGGAGCGTGATTCTCACTGACTGAAACCACTTGCATAGAGCTCACCTGTTTCATTTGTCATACAGAGCTGCCATCTGCCCTTCACCAGTTCCTCTTGCTACCTGATTGCATCAAACCCTTTCTTCCCCATTATTGGTAAATCATCTCTATTTCTTCTTCAAGGAGCCTCTGCACTAGATAAATGTCACTTTGCTGGCACACCTTAGATGCATTTATATATTTGAAATCTGTAGAACTGCAACCTAAAGCTCATGGAACACCATTAATAAAGCTTTATTCCCTACATTTTGCCTCAAGATCTGTTACAACAAAGTTTGGGGTAACAGTATTACACGCTACATCTAGACTGCCTCTCTTTTTTGGAGAAAGATATGCAAATTGTGCTCCGCAATTTGCGTGCCTTTTTCCGATTGTTTTTTCAGAAGAGGCTTTTCTGAAATTTGGCCCGTCTACACTGGACCAAATTTTAGAAAAACCTTCTCTTTTGGAAGAGCCCGTATTCCTCATTTTATGAGGAATACAGGGCTTCCGAAAGAACGCCTCTGCTTTTCTGCAAAAAATGTCAGAGGAGCAGACGCGTTCCCTGGTCGCTGTGGAGTTTTTCCGGGACACCTCTGCAGTCTAGACATAGCCTCAATCATTATAAAGGCTCAGCTTTCTGTGTGGAAGCATATTGTTTGATAAAATTTCTAGTAAGTAGGAATGTACCTGCTTCTTGAAGAAGAAACAGAGGTTATGTATCAATAACTGGAGTTCTTTGAGATGAGCTTGCTTTCACAAATTCATACTACCAAGGACCCCCTTCCCTTTCCTGGAATTATATCTCTTTGCAGGACTCTTAGGTTTAGGTCAAAGGAGCTAAAGCTGTGGGGATGCTGTGGCTCACAGAACATTAACAATAGTGAGAGAGGCAGGCATGTTCCACAGTAGGTACTGCTTCTAGAAGATTGCTGCATTGTTGCTACAGCTCCTAAAAGCATAAATGTGCACAGTGGCTCATCTCAAAGAACTGTAGTTACTGGTAAGAAGCCTTCACTTTCACTGTTTTTGTTCATGTACTAGTACCAAAACATTACATTACAATTATTAAATTATCAAAATAATTAATTCAAAAGTAAAATGAGTCACTGTTTTATCCTGAAGCCTTTTATCCCCAAATTACGTAAAGCTTGTATAACTGCCAGGTCTGAATTGTTGATGTGAAGGCATGTACTATTGAAAAAAGCTTTTTTGTAAAGCAGAATGGTGTGATTCCTTCACTTTTTTTTTGTTGCTACATTCCCAGGAAGCATTTTCTTTGAATAAGAAGTCCTCCTCAAAATAATCTCAAACCATACAATGGCCTCAGCTGTAATCAGTTCAGTTCCCACCACTGCATCTCGCTTTGCTCTATTACAAGTGGATAGTGGTAGTGGTTCTGATTCAGAGACTGGAAAGGGAAGAAGTGGTCGAGGTGCTGGGAAGTCTCAAGCTTCAGGGGGAAAATCAACTACAAATGAAAAGAAGAAAGAAAAGAGGAGAAAAAAGAAGGAACAGCAGCAGAGCGAGGCTAATGAGGTAGAGAGGCTGTTATATTTTCAGTAACATATAAGGTGTCCAGTTATGACAGTTACCTGTATGCCTTGGGTCAATTGTTTATCTGTTAGCTAAGTAATGTGGCTATTTTTATTGCTTTTTATGTGTTACTTTTGTAAAACAAAAATTTCAGTCAGTCATTAAAAGGTATCATTTAAAATTTTTAAATTGTCCTTAAAACTTTGTTAAAGTTCAGTCACAACTACACTTCTTTAAATGTGGGAGGCTCTTGACTAATCAAACATTTACTTATACATTTACATGAAAATAAGTTGAGTTTCTTACATTTTCCCATTTCCTGATCACAGATCCTATTCTGCTAGTGATATAGGACGGACTGAGAAACAGTCATTTTTTGGAAGCAGAGGTTGGCATCTTTGCATTCCAGTAGGATTTTGCCTTACACTCAGAAAGAGATGGAGAGACCATAGAACAAGTTGGCAGAATCATAGGGGCTACGTCTACACTGGCCCCTAATTCCGGAAAAGTCATGCAAAGCAGGTAAGTCAGAATAGGGAAATCCGTGGGGGATTTAAATAAACATGTCCGCCGCTTTTTTCCGGCTTGGGGAAAAGCCGGAAAAAAGCGTCTAGACTGGCGCGATCCTCCGGAATAAAGCCCTTTTCTGGAGGATCTCTTATTCCTACTTGAAGTAGTAAATAACACTTCCTTACTCACTTTTTCTACATCATTCATAATTGTAGAGACCTCTATTATATTTCCCCCAATCATTTCTTTTCCAGACTGAAAAAATTCCATGTGGATTTCCCTATTCTGACTTACCTGCTTTGCATGACTTTTCCAGAATTAGGGGCCAGTGTAGACGTAGCCAGGTTGTGGGGCTAGAAATGAGGTATGCGGCAGATTTGCTTTGAGCTGGAATAGTTGTTTCTAAATTGGCGCGTAATGGAGCAGAGGCTGTTGAGTACAGCTGAAGCCAGTAAAGAATGTAATCCTAAGCAGGAAGGAACTAGAAGAGGGACAGGAGACTTACTATTTTAAAAATGGAGAGAAACTGGATAGAAGATAATCCTATGACAGTATGGAGAAGAAGTGATGATTGTATTGTCCCTTTCTTATTAGTATTTTTTGTGCTGAAAGCATTGATTACATAGCCCTTAAGGTAAGAGGACTGTGGTTTCTTCCTCACTGCTCACTGTTGGCACTTCCATCCACTGCTCTTTTCGGGTTTCTGTTCGGTGACTATTTACCATTCACCAAGTTCTGGCTGTTAGCCAGGGCTTGCCAGATCTTAGCCCTGGCACCTCTAAGCTTGTCATTTCATAGCCCCAGCACCTCTGGTCTGACTGCCCCAGGTATGAAAGTAGAAGAAAAGATTGTTTGAGCCTTGGCACTCAATTGCTTGAGCCTCAGCACCTCTTTCGTTACAAATTAAGCATTGCTGTTAGCCTCTTCTCACTGGTGGTTCTATAATAGGAGGGATCACGTGAGGATTACCTGTTGTGTTCACTCCCTCTGGGGCGTCTGGCATCGACCACAGTGGCAGACAGGATACTGGGCTAGATAGACCTTTGGTCTGACCCAGTCTGGTCGTTCTTATGTTTTGTGCCAGCTCCTGGCACGTACCAGTTCCCGCCTGCTGCCCCATTCCCGGGGAACTGGCTGCTGCCCCATGCTGCAGACTCATACTGAGGTGGTGGCACCTAGCTTCCGGCATGTACCGGCTCCCAGGGAGCCATCTTTTAAGCCAGCTCCTGGCATGTACCAGCTGTCTACTCCCACCCCACTCCTAGGTTGTTGCCCTGTGCTGTGGGTGTGGGGTGGCAGCTGGCTCCCTGGGAGCAGGGCGGGGCCCCGCCTAGCTGGTGTGTAACCATTTGGGTAACGAATAAGCTCCTAGCAGCAAAGCCACTCTGCAAATTAGTGCATGAAGCCCAGCTTGGGTGGTGATTGCACTCTGGGGAGTGATTTTCTTCTGAGTCCTTATTTCCTGGTGTCTAGAACATCCTCGCGTTCCTTCGGTGGTGGAGTGTCTAAAGTTCAGGTGTCATCTGTGATCAGATAATCCCCTGGCTTCTAAAACTTCCTCCGGGCTATTCAGTGCCAGTCACTGGGCGAAGCCTGAAAGCGTGTCGTTAAATGTGTCTGTAAATGGAGCACGGGTGCAGCAGCCTTGTGGCATGCCACAAGCCATCAGCCTGCATTGTCTCCCTGTATTTAAAAACCCGCCTTGCTCCTATCTTGGCTTAGCCACTGCAACTTTCTCCGTGCCGAGGCATGGGTGGGGGTGAGTTACTGCCTGGTTTGAGCTGCTGGCTCTGTGTGTAGTCGTTACATAATGCTTCGCCCCTGCTTGGCACAGTCCACCCAGTCAAATGCAAGGCAGCGAGAGACAGCAGGAAGGGGTTCTGTGACGGGGGCAGCATCTTTGGGGTCAGCTGCGGAATGCCTCTGTGACCAGTGAGAGTCAATATTTGAACAGAGTCCCCATTCCGCCATGTGTGAACGGGAGGGGGGCCCCTTAGCTCCAGAGAGTTTGAGATGCGCCGATGAAATCCCATTTGCCTTCTGCCCTTCTCCAAGGCCTGATCCCTCCCCCCCCTTGCCCCAGAGAGCTTCCATCAATCAAACCCTGGTCATGCAAAACCCCAAAGCACTCACTACCTTGGTCCATTCTTCGCTCTCTCCTGGGCTAATGCTGCTTTTTGCTTGCAGTGGCTTTACTGGCATTTTGGAGAGAACATGACAGCCACAAC